GACCTTGCGCTTGCCAGGCAGGCACTTTTGCCGCTGAGCTAAATCCCCAGCCCCAATCAATGCCTTTTATAACTGCAGTAATAACAAAGAACACAAGAAGGGCACTATTGCAAATAAAAAATTAGTATCTTCAGTGATACTGAAGATATTTATCCCGTGATTAAAAGGAGATAATTGATATTGCCCTGCCCATAAGAGTTTGTTCTTTTAGGAAAAATATAATATTGCTTTGTTTTGTTTTGGACTATGTTGTTATTTTTTCACTCTCTTTAAAATAAAAAAAAAAACATTAAAAAAGAAATATACAATAGATGCTGTGATTACTGGGTTGCTTAGAAAATGAACTGAGTCTCACATATATGGCTTTACAGTGTATATGGATATTATAAATGCTTACAGTAGTCAGAAGTGCATTATACATTCACACTAGTCCTGCATATCTTGTTGAGGACCTAAAGGGTGTGTTTCTATAGGTTTCCTATGTAATCCTGTGTTTAACGCCTACCCAGTGAATCAGTGCCATTGCTGTTAATTGCAGTTACATTTCGTCAATCACATCTCCTTGGAGACAGTGAGAGTGAGCACAAATGAAAATGTGCTATTTGATTTATGTCATTTCTGCAGGGTTTTCTAGAGCAATGGCAGATAATTTCATCCATTGATATATAAAATACATAGAAATAAATACTGTGCAAGTTGAAAAGTGAATCAAGTCTATTGATGTTGTGCCAACAACCTTACACCCTATGAAAAAAAGAACAAGGTCAATGATTTATGAAAACCACAGAAAAATGAAAAGAAAAAGCAGTTTCTTCTTGAATAAATGCATGGACACAGTTCAGAGAGCAGGGAGCTGATTGCAATGTCATGCACAATTACACATATAACAAATGTGTTTTCATAATAATGATGTTCATTTATTATAGACCTTATGGTAATGAGAGTGCAAGCTATATCGGAATGTGATGATTTTTGTAATGTAAACAGACCTACTATATTCATAGGCAATACAGTGAAAATAATAGCAAGCTCTGATCATTTTTCAGAAAATTGATATTTAAATGATACTGAGAGTAGATCCAAATGCACACAGAAGGAATAACAGGAGCAAAGACTAACTAGAAGGGGTGTGTTACATTTAATTCCTAACAGGAGGCCCATGACACTACATGACAGTTAATGAGGAACGCTGGTAACGTGAGTGATTTCTGTTCTTCAAGAACTAAAGTAAATAAATTTTGACCAAAAGTGGTCTGCCTGTCATTCTAAAACTGCCAACCCATGCAGAGCTTTGTGGTGAGTGCCTGCGAGTGAGTTCTAACACAAACGGAAATCAGCCCCAGAGGGCAGGGCAAGGTCCAGGGTGGGGACCCATTCATAAATTCATATATAAATATATGCATATGTGTATTAGGAAGCAGCCCAAACATCCTCTGGTATATGAATAGATAAACAAAACAGAGCACATACATATGATGAAATATTATTGAGCTTTAACAAGGAATAACATTTTGATACATGCTACCAATATAATGACACTTGAGGGGAAAAACACCAGTCACAAAAAGATTTCACCTCTGTGGAATACTGTACCTAGAACAGTCAAATCTGTAGAGACAAAAACCAGTTGCTGCCAAGGATCGGAGGAGAAAAGGATGGGATGGGAGGTTTTTAGTGGGTATAGAAATTCAGCTTTGCAAGATGAAAAAAAATTTAGAGATTGGTTGTACATCAACGTGAAACGCACTTTCATGCTACTGAATGATACACTTAAAATTATTATTAGCCTACATTTTATGCTATGTACATTAAAAGTACTTCCATAACTTGTGTGATATAGTCTAAAAATCTAATTAATGCAATCTAACATGATCAAATATAAATATAAATTTTATACACAAAATAAATGATGGTCTATACATTTGGGACAATATTAAAATTGTGATTTACTTTTAAAAAAAAGGTTAAGAAAACTCTAATGAAAGCAAAGCATATAAGAATTTATCATAAAAATTGATATTAATGAGAAAAATTTAGTAAAGTGTAGCAAATAATATCAACAAATAGCATTTTGAAGGAAAAAAGTAAAGGTTTAATATACAGTTAATATTTCAAATTTTATTTTCATACTAAATTGTTTAATAATATTGGTTTAGCAGAAGCGTTTAATAGCATTTTATACTAATGTTACCATACCATGGTATACTATGGTAACACTGGTATATTATTACATCTAAAAGAAGGGAGAGAAAACATGGACATGTTAAAAGAAACAGCATGAATCTGGCTTAGGTTTATTTTCATGTGTGTTCTTCCT